TTAGTTGAAAATTCTAGAAAATAATTGAATTTTGGAGAAGTTACACTAGCAATTTTGAGAAATAATTAAATTTCAGCAAATTTCAATTGATGTAGAAGTTAAATAATATTTAAATATTTATTTAAAAAAAAGTATTAAACTTAAATAATTTTACAGGAAAATTTTTATTTATTTAAAAAAAAATTTAATTTAAAAAAAGACATTAATGTTTTAAATAAAGTTTATAAAAATTTAATAATTTTTAAAAAATAAAGCTAAAATATTTTAAAAACCTAATTTTAAAGAATTGTATGTAAATAATATTTTTCGAAAATTTAATTTAAAAAAGAAATTCAAAACTAAAATCTCTTTTAAAGTATCTAATAATAAAAATTGAATACTGCTTTTACATAAACAAACATGAATACATTCGATTGTGACTCTTTGTAAAATTTATAAATTCACCAATTATTAACTTAAAATTTAATAAATCTGTATTAAAATTTTTACAAAAATTATCAAAATTAAATTCAAATTTCTCAAAAACCGGATTTCCATGATTTAAAACTTAAATAATTTGTTAAGCGAATCTTTATTTATAATTAATTTTTTAAATGAATTTTTAATAATAATTAATTTTTTAAATATAAATATTTAAATATAATCATTTTCTTCATCGCTATTGATAATTTTTACAAACTTTCAGTCTAAAACCTGAAATTCAATTGTTTCGTAAAGTTGGATAACAGTTTTTATATACCTAAAATCTTTTTCAAGTTAATTATAATTAATTATAAAATTTCTTGTGATTCAAAGATTTTTAAAGTGAAAAAATATTCAAGATAATTTCAAGGTTTTTACATTTTTTAAAATGAATTTTGAAGAACAGAAAACAGAATTTTTGTAGAAATTCTAGAAATTCGATATTTTTCCAGTACTTTTTGATAAAATGATATCTCAGACTTTTCTCTGATTTCCATGACCTTTGTGCGACAATCTTAAATTTTAGAAAAGAATTGACTTTTTGAAGAAATACATTTGTATAATGTTTCGAAATAATATTAAATTTCAATTTGATTATTTTAAAGAATTTCATTTAAATTTTTAATAATAATCGTGTTTTTAAAATTAAGTTTAATTTTTTTAAAATTATTGGCAAATAATTGAAGTTTAAAAAGTAATAAATAAAATAAATGACATTTTACTTTTTTTGTACTTTGAATCGACTGAAACGTGACTTTTTTGTGTTATGTCGCAAAGTCGATCTGAGGCGTGTAAATAATTGATTCCTGAATTTATGATTAATGTGAAGAAAACAAATATTAAACTTTTCATTTCAATAATTTAACTAAGTTTAATATTTTAAACTCGTTAATAATTCTTTAATTTTTAAAAATTCTCAAAAAGAAATAGTAATTTTTAGTGTCACAAAATTAAAAAAATGTATAGTACAAATACAGGGTGGTCACAAGTTTCAGTTTATAAATTTCCCTGACAATTTACTATTTAATAAGTCCAAAATCTAAATTTTCATAAATTTTTATTTACATTGTTCAAAGATAATTGAATCTTAAAAAATTATTACAAAATAATTCTGATTATTAATTATGCGTTGAAGTTAACAATCACTCCGAGTCAAGCCAACTGACGTTGGCTTCATGATCGTTAACTTCAACACATAATTAATTTGAAAAACGAGTGATAGAATCATTATTATATTATTAATTCTAATCATTAGTTAAAATAAATATTTAAATGCAATTTTTCGAAAACAATTAAATTTCTTAAAAGAATTTTTGTAATAATTTTTAAAAAAAACTCAATAATTTTTTGATGAATTTTAATTAAAAATTTTGAACATGATTGTTTTCTCCAAAATGTTAAAAAATAATTTTAAAATGTTATTATTTTTTTGGAAATATGTCATTGAAAATATTGAATTTTAAAAAATTAGATGCTAATTTTTATTAATTTTCATTTTTAATTTCACCTTTAAAGATTTTTCATTAAAATTTTTGATAATTCAATTATTTTCAAAAATAATAAAATTCTTCTCCAAATTTCGATTATTTTCAAAAATTTTAATAAAATTCTTTGCAAAATTTCAATTATTTTCAAAAAATTTTACTCAAATTAATAATTTTCAATATCTACTATTTTAATAAAATTTTTCAAAAGAATTCAATTAGTATTTAAAAAAAAATGTTGATAAAATTTTAAGCAAACATTAAATTATTTTCATAAATAATAAAAATTCCACAGGAATTCAATTATTTACAAATTTTTTATAAATTTCTTTGCAATAATTCAGTAATTTTCATAAATAATATAACATTTTTTTTACAAAAATTCAATTATTTTCATGAATAATAAAACTCATTATAGAATTTCAATTATTTTTAATACAATTTCAATCGAATTCCTCGAAAAATTTAATCATTCTTGAAAATTTTATGAAAATTCCTCGAAAAAATTCAATTATGTTGATAAAATTCTTCATGATAATTCAATTTAAAGAAACATTCATTTATTCAGAAAATTATTAATTTTTGTATTTAAATAATTGAATTCTTGTAGAATTTTCCAATAAAAATTGATTTAAAAATGAATATTAATAAATACATTAAAAGCATTATCGCATAAATTTTTAAAAATAATTAATAATTGAATTCTTTCGAAGAATTTTAATAAAATTTTTGAAAATAATTACATTTCTCGAAAAAATTTACTTAAAATTGTTTTAAAAATAATTTAAATCCTGTAAAGAATTTTATTACCTAATTTATGAAAGTAATTGAATTCTTGCAACAAATTTTATCAAATTTTTTTTTAAATAATTGAAATAATGTAAAAAATCATATTATTGATAAAAATAATTGAATTCCTACAACGAATTTTATTAAATTTTTTTTTAAATAATTGAATTCTATTGAGAACTTTTATTAAAATAGTAGATTTTGAAAATATTTGAATTTCAACGAAGAATTTCATTATATATTCGTGAAATGTAATTAAATTCTTGCAAAAAATTTAAGAAAATAATTCCATTTTTCTAGGATTTTATTTTAAATTGTATTAAAAATAATTGAAATCCTCAGAAAAATTTTATAATTTATGAAAATAATGGAATTCTTATAACGAATTTTATTAAATGTTTTTTTAAATTAATGAATTCATGTAAAAAATTTTATTACTTGTTAAAATAATTGAATTCCTACAACGAATTTTACATTTTATTTAAATAACTAAATTCTTTCGAGAATTTTTATTAAAATAGTAAATTCTGAAAAATGTTGAATTTCTGCGAAGTATTTCATTATTTGTGAAATTATTTTAATTCTTGCAAAAAATTTTTGAAGATAATTTCATTTTTCGAGAAATTTCTTTAAAATTGTATTAAAAGTAATTGACATACCCTGTGAAGAATTTTATTATTTATGAAAATAATTGAATTCTTGCAATGAATTTTATTATAATTTTTGTGAATAATTTAATTTTTTTCTTTGAAAAATGTTATGGAAATCTAAATTTTTCTAAAACATGAAGATATGAATTACTCCGAGTCGAAGACTCGGAGTGTTTTATATCTTCATGTTTTATAATAATATTCTTAAAAGTTGTTGAATTTTAAAAATGTTTGAATTTTAATGTTTTGAAGAATTTTAATTTCTATGGAAAAATAATAATTAAATACTTATTTCTGTTATTTAAAAATGAAGTTATTAATGTTTGCGAATAATTTTACAATTAAAGAAATTCGTAAATAAATGTAATAGAATTTCTTTTTTAGTATCTAACAATTTTTAGAGTGAATCAGAATATTCTTTATGGTCAGGGAAAAAGTTAAAATTTTATCTGGAAATCAGGGAAAAGTCAGGGAAAAACAAAATTAATTTTTTGTGTTAACCCTGTATTAAAATTCTTCAAAAGTTGATTTTCAAAAATTGTAACAAAATACTTGAAATAAATTAATTATTTTCAATTAAATTTTACAAAAAATTTCAACTATTCAAAAAGGTTTTTATTATAGATATATTTGAAAAATTTAATTATTTATTTAGTAGGTATATAAACGGGCATATATTGCCGTTTCGTACAATGTACTGAACAACGAGAATTTTATGTTACTAAGTTGACCGCATTGTTGTTATTTTGGACGAAAATCTGATTGCGCCATTCTCTTTAATTATGTTAAAAAATTATTCAAAAACAATTTTTGAATGATTTGTTCATAGTTATTTTTCGTATTATAAAAATCAAAATAAGTATTTTTTTTACTAAAAATTGTGGTATTTTGTTGCAATGTTTGAAAGAAAAGTCGCAATTTTTGAAAATAAGTCGAAAAATATTTTAATTTTCTTAATTTCCCTGACAAAAAATTTTTTTCCTGACATTTCCCTGACTTTACTAACTTTACTGATATATGTTGCCACCCTGAAATAGTAGGGAACCGTAAAAACGTAGTAAACAGAAGCTTTAGTAGATGAGCGCAAAGCCTGTTAATGGTATAAATTTAAAAAAAAAAATACCGAAATACTTTTTTTTCGAGAAAAAAAACAAAACACAATTAATGACAAATTTTCCTCTAGACAGATCATCCCTAATCCCATTTTCTTCTTTATTGTCGTCTCTGGGTGCATTTTTATGGTTGCTTTTAACATCTTTATTACATGTTTCCGCAAAGTGAGGCTTCAATATGAAACAGAGGCTTAACATTTTAAAGTAGATGTTACAGTTAAAAACTGCAATTTCTGTTGGTATGGAAGAAGAGCATCGATCTTTATATATATATATATATATATATACATATATATGTGAATTTGGTTCACTGACGATTAGACTCGCGCATACTAAAACCTATGTGACAGAGAAAGTAACATAGAATACACACAATGAAACTATATAGAATACTTCTTTATGTATATGTATATAGAGCTTTTAAAGTCCCTCCCCCCCCCTTTCCACCCCTTTCTTTCTCATTGATTTTGTGATTCTCCTGAACTAAAAATTTCTCTTTAAAGCAGATGTCATGATGCTGGAGGCTGACGTTGTCTTGGGAAATTTACAGACCAACATGACAAAATTAATGCCAATTATGGCTCATCCACCAAATACCACCAGCGATCTATCACTCGAGGAATTCATCGAAATTGTTCTTAAAAATGGCACCAAGGGCATGAAACTTGACTTCAAATCCATTGAGGCCTTTAATCAGAGCGTCGAAATTCTTAAGAAATTCAAACCAAATGTGAGTTTTTCCCCCCTTGGGAATATAGACATTTTTTTTTTTATTCTACTTTATAATGATATATTATTATTCTTTTAAAGATGAAGGTACCAGTTTGGATTAATGCAGATATTCTCATGGGTCCTGTTAATGCAACAGAAGAACAAGCAAAACCTGTCGATGCCAAACAATTTCTATCCACAATTGTCAAAGATTTTCCAGAATTTGTCATATCTGTTGGATGGGTCACTAAGTAAGTTAATGAAAACTTAAAACAAAATGAATATTTCAGGGCTCGGACCAGTATTTAAAAATACGGACTTTACGGACCAAAAATTGAAAAATTACGGACCATTTTCTAACAAAAATTTAACCAGTCCAAGTCAAATAAGAGAATATTTTACTTAAAAGTCTAATATAAATTAAATTTTATCATAACTATAAAACATGAAGATGCTTTATAATAATTAAATATTAGCAATTTGATAAAACTATTATTTTATATTATAAGAATATTGTACTTCTTCAAAATTATTTTCATCATTTCAATTCAATTATTATTTCTAAGAGTTTTTAACTAACATTTATTTTTAATAATTTTCGAAAAAGTTCTTTAAACAATTTTCAAGTCCATTTGTTTACAATATTTCATTTTAATAATTTCAATTATTCGTAAATTCTTCAATTAAATACATTACATTAGAAAATAAAAACTTCAAATAATATAAAAAAAAAAATTCAATTAAACTTTTTCAAAAAAAATTAATTTCAAAATTCAATTATTTCTAAAAATTCACGCCATATTGCTTTTAATATTCAATTACTATCTAAAATTTTAACTGAAATTCATTTTTATGAAATAAAAATCAATTTTTATTAAAACATTCTACTGGAATTCAATTATTTAAATACAGAAATAAATAATTTATTAAATAATTGAACGATTCTAAATATTGAATTCTCATAAAGAATTTTATCAACAAACTTTTAAATAATATGTAGATAGAATTAATCATTAATTGAATTTTTAAATAATTAAATTTTTTCAACGAATTGTAATAAAATTTTTTAAGAATAATTACATTTTTCGAGAAATTCGATTAAAATTGTATTAAAAATAATTGAAATTTTACGGTAAGTTTCATTATTTTTGAAAATAACTGAATCCCTGTAAAAATGTTATTATTCATGAAAATAATTGAATTATTGCGAAGAAATTTACAAGAAATTTGTAAATAATTGAATTCCTGGGAAATTTATTATATTTATGAAAATAATTGAATTTATTTTAAATAATTGAATTCTTTTAGAAAATTTTATTAAAATAGTAGGTATTCAAAATCATTAAATTGTAAAAGATTTTTGAAAACAGCAAAAATTTTAAAAAATTTTAAACTTTAACCTTTTCTAAATTCAATTATTTTAAAAAATTTATCCTAATATGCTCTTAATATTCAAATATTATGTAAAATTTTAACTAAAAATTCATTTTTAAATCAATTTTTATTAGAAAATTCTACTAAAATTCAATTATTTAAATATAAAAATAAATAATTTATTAATTGGATTTCCTTAAAATTGAATGCTCGTAAAGAATTTTATCAAATAAATTTTTAAATGAGTGAATTCCCCCTATGAATTTTAACAAAATTAAAAAAAATAATTACATTTTTCAAGAAATTTGATTAAAATTTGATTAAAAATTTAAAAATAATTGAAATTCTACGAAAAGTTTTATTATTTGTAAAAATAATTGAATCCCTAAGAAGAATTTTATTATTTTTGAACATAATTAAATTTCTGCAATAATTTGTAATGCAAAAAAATAATTTTTAAATAATTGAATTCTTTCGACGAATTTTAATAAAATTTTTAAGAATAATTACATTTTTCGAGGAATTTGATTAAAATTGTATATTAAAAATAATTGAAATTCTGCAATGAGTTTTATTATTTATGAAAATAATTGAATTTCTAAAAAGCATTTTATTATTTAGGAAAATAATTGAATCCCTGTAAAAATTTTATTATTTATGAAAATAATTGAATTATTGCGAAGAAATTTATAGAAAATTTGTAAATAATTGAATTGCTGTGAAATTTTTATTATTTTATAAAAATAATTGAATTTTTGCGAAGAATGTTATTATTTCTAAAAATAATTGAAATTTTGAAGAGAATTTTTAAAAATTTTTGAACATAATTGAATTTTAGGGGAAGAATTTTATTACTTTTGAAAATTATTGAATTTCTGTAATAATTTGTAGTTTCTCTAAAATTCTCCAAATTATATCGCACAATTTACGAATTTTGCATCCTTTTTTGAATCAAATTACGAACTTTACGGATTTTTACGGACTTGAAGCAAATTTACGAATCTAGTTCGAGCCCTGATATTTCTACTTTGAAAAATTCAAAAACATTATTTTTTTCTTCCATTTTTAGATACGGAACGAAATACAACATCAAAACGGGAAATTACACAACACATCAGATTGATGATATGTTAAAAACTCTAAAGGACAATCATATGAGTCAAAATGTGACCTTTGCGGTTAGAGCTGGTTTAGCATTAAATAGTATCGACGCAATGGAGAAACTTGTCGCTAATAATACTAAAGCAACATTGACGATTTGGTCCAGTGAAGGCGATGAGGTCAATGGTGACAAACTTACGAATTTAATCACGAAAATTGGATTTGACAAAGTATTTATCGATGTGCCAGAAAGTGTTTGGAAAACTTTGCACTTTAATAAACCGAAACCTGGTTCATCGAATTATCTTACTTCAAATGTTATTTTAACCTTTGCGACTACAATCTTGTCATTTTTACTTGTCACCCGGATGCTGTGAAGATAATGTGTTTTAGTAAATAAGTAAAATTCACACATAAAATGAAAGATGCAGGTGAAGGTTTAAGTTTGCTGATGATATGAACACTGCATCGTGGCAACGTCAGTTTGCAGAATATGCGAAGGCTTTTTTTAAATGCCTTCAAAAGAAAAAACGAATATTTCCTGCAGTATTTTTCTTTCTTTAAAAAAAAAAAAATCTTTCAATTTTTAACTAACAATATAGATTTGATTTTTTGAAATTTTAAATTTCTTAAATTTCTTTAGATTATTGCAAAAAAAATATTGTTAACTGTTAGTTAAATTTTTTATCATTCTATTTAAAATTAAGTTCTTCCATATTAAATGGTGCAGAATCTCGTGTGCTTAAAAAAAAAAGGAAACAGTCGAAGAATAATTTTCTTTTTTTAAAATAATTGTTTCCTGCAAAATATATCTACGTGTGCTTACAGTTTACATTTAAAATTCCTAGACACACTGGAAGAAAAAATTTATTTTAACTTCAGTAATTATTTGACAAGAAATAAATCACTTTTTCCAGTAAATATAGGTAAACTTTTCGTATGTTTGTTCTTATAAAGACAAAATAGAATTTAATCTAAAGTGGGTCATTTCAATGAAAACAAATTCAATTTTCAAAACTCATTTAACTTTTCCTTGTAATTAAATTTTCAAATTTAAATTAAATAAATTTTTTAGCTCGAATTTGAAAGTTTAGTGAATTATCATAAAAGTGTTAAATAAAAAAAAAAAGTAATTTAGAAAATTTAATATTAAAAAAGAATGTTTCGAGACGAATATAGTTGAGTCTACATAATATGTAGTCACCTTTTTTTGTCGAGCGAACTTATATTTTTAATATTTGTGTCCGTGTTCAAATTTTTCCTTAAAAACCCATTTTCAACACACCAGAGACTTATAGAATTTATTAATAATAATAATTAAGATTAAAATAGATTTTAAGACAAATAATTGTGTAATTATCAACGAATTCGTAAGGTTCCATTTTTAGATACTATAATAAATATTAATGTAGAAAAAAAAGTGCCCTCCCCCCAAACCCTACCTGTTGTTATTATAAATAATGTTTCCTCCTTTTCGAGAAATATACAATTTAGGAATAAATGAATTTTGAACCTTACGAATTTGTAACAACTGTCGTTATATAAATATTCCCAAGAAAAAAAAAACAAGTAAATTCTTGAGTTTTGTTCAAATGAATATATTTGTCAATCAACGTCCAAAAATTTTTATGTCAATCCATTAAATTTTTGAAAAAAAAAATTCATTTTCAATTGACTGATGTGTTAATAAACCATTCCAACGAGATATTTAAAAAAGAAACAGAAAAATAATTTGCAACTGTTTTAAATTAAACTTTTGCATTTCAATTGCAATTTTACATTATTTTTGTACTTGATTATATTACATAGTGATGACTATTTTTTAAAATATTATGATTCAAATATAGAATTTAGTTTGTAAGTTGGTTCAATTTTCCAACAATAACTCTGTTATATTATTAAAAATTAATGAAAAAAGTAAATTGTGAAAAATTTCAATAATATTTTAGTACTACAATATTAGTACTATAATAAAAAAACATTAAAGCCAAAGGATTCAGTAAATGTCAAATTATTAACAACTGGACACACTGTGTTTGATATAATAAATAAATAAAAATCGTTTACGAAAATTACTCTTCTTTTTTATTTTAGTGTATTAGTTTTTAGAAATTATTTCATTATTTTCAATTTTTCAATTGTTTTCAGTGTAGAAAAAAAGTATTTTAAAAAATAAATTAAAATTAATTGATTAGAAATTTTTTAAAAATCTTTATTATATTTAGTAACAAAATATGTATGAGATCGACTTTAAGGCGCAAAAAAAGTCGCTTTAGTCTTTAAATGTACAATTGAAAAATTTCCAAATAATTGAAATTTGATAAAATCTATTAAAAATAATTGAAGTTTTGATAAATAGTTTTAAAAATAAAAGAATTTTTGAAAAATATAAAAAAATAATACAATTTTTAAAGAATTTTAATTATAAAATAATATGAATGTTTTTTTTTCAAAATTTTATTAAGTCTAAAAAATTAAATTTTTAAAATTTTAATTTACTTTGTTCGAAGATATTTGAATCTTAAAAAATTATGACAAAACATTTCTAAGAATTAGATTTTTAAAAATATTGTACGTGTAATTTTTTTAAAATAATAATTGAATTTCTTAAAAGAATTTCTGTAAGTTATAGAAAACTAACAAATTTTTTTGAAGAATTTTAATTAAAATTTTTAAACATAATTGTGTTCTCCAAAATGTTAGAAATAATTCTAACAAATTTTAATGTTATTATTTTTTGTGTGTATTTGCATTTTTTTGAATTATGTAAGTGCGAAAATATTGAAATATTTAAAAATTTTAAAAATTAGAATGGGAAAATTCTAAGAATTTCTTTTTTCTAAATTATTTTAATATAATTTTTATGGAAGCAAATTTTCATTAATTTTCATTTTTAAATTTCCACTTGAAAATTTTTAAGAATTTAATTATTTTAAAAATTTGCATTTCAAATTCTTCAACAATTGTAATAAAATACTTGAAAAAAATCCATTATTTTCAATTAAATTTTACAAAATTTCAATTATTCTAAAATTTTTTAATTATACGTATATTTTTTAAATTTTATTATCGTAAAAAAATTATTCAAAAATATAATGTTGAAAAATTTGTTTATAGTTATTTTCACACTATTTGAAAAAAAGTTGCAATTTTTTAAAAATAGTCGAAAAAGTCAAAAAAGTCATATTATCCGAGGCCTCAATCTGTAATTTGGTCAAATATATATTGTTATATTTTGATAAGAAAAATAAATGTACCAAAGGATTTTTCAAAATTGTGGAAGTTACGCCATAGTGGATTTTTTTAAATGTTAATATTTCCGAAACAATTTAACGAATTTAAAAAAATTGAAATGTTATACTTAAAATCAAGTCCTTTCAGAATTATGCAAAAAAAACTTTTTTTACAAAAATACAGTAAAAAAATTGTTTTTGAATCGATTTACTAAGCACGGGACCGATTTTTGAATATTTATTGTAAAGAATAAAATATTCTTTATAATTTCACCTTTCATTTAAAAAAAAAAGAAAGAACGATGGAGTTTCCTACCCATAATACTCAGATTATACGATTATAGGCTAGTATACACTGATCTCTTTTGTTTTAAATTTAATTTGATAATAATAATAATTATTGCTACATTTAGAAATTTACATTTCGTTGTAGGAGGGTTCCGCTTTTCACAAAAATAAATTAACAAATCAAAAGAAACAATAACAAAAAACAAAAAAAAATCTCTTACATTCATATAGACACTACTCATTTAATATAAAAGAACGCAACAGTAAACAATTAATTATGTAGAAGCAAATACTTTTAATAATTGCTTCATCCGACACGTTACAGAGTTCAGTCATTCTTTCCAAACCTTTGAAATCTGACGTTATTTTAGATAGATAGAACTTCCTGTACCCATTATAAATTGGACAGTCAAAAAGAAAATGGTTTAATGACTCTAATTTCATTTAGATTGCACAAAGTGCATATTGAATTTTAATCCCATTTATATATGTTTCCCTTATATGTGAATCTAAAAGAGTAATTTAATTTGATAAAGAAACTAAAATAATTATTCAGCATTATACATGTAATGTTTTTAATAATACAACAGTGTGTAAAATATTTTATGGATTCTATGCAACAAATAAACAAAATATAACCTAAAAATATACACTTCAATAATATGTTTATGTATTTACTATTTAAATATGTACGTATTTGTGAAAAAGTTTCTTTTCACCTTTTGCCTCTTTTTTACCAGAATATAAACAAATTAACACCATTTTTGTATTTATTTCCCAAAAGTTAAATTAAAATTATAAAAACACTGAATATTTCCATGCAGTTGCTATGACGACTTACCTTGAATCGTACGTCACTCGTTCCTCGTTCGGTTTACATCTGTTTTACACGAACTCACACGAAATTTGCCGATTTAGTAAAACACCACTAAAGTCAAAGGATGAAAATTTAAATAGTTTCTTATTGATCCCAGCGGTATTGCGTGGCAGTTCTGACGTCATTCAAAATACTCGTGACACCTGCTTGCTTGCTGTCAAACAAAATGAACTATAAATCCAACTAAATTATTATAAACGATATAAACACTTGTCTAGCTTGTCTAACTTGTCTACAATGGAAATATAATAAAAGAACAATTTTAAAAAGTGTGTTAAAAGTGTCACAATAAAAAAAAATTGTGAAGAAATGGGCATTGGCAAAGTACGAAGTGTATTATTTTTGCTAATAATTTGGAGGTTATGTTCTGTTTTCGTCGTACAAACATTTCATGTTCCCGATGAATATTGGCAATCTCTCGAAGTCGCACACAAACTAACATTTAATTATGGTCATCTAACATGGGAATGGACTGAAAGAATTCGTAGTTATATTTATCCCTTTCTAATATCAATTCTTTATAATATTCTTCATTTTCTATCTATCGATTACACGATACTTTTAATTTATCTTCCGAGAATTTTTCAATCACTCCTCACCGCTTATTCTGACTATAGATTTTACATTTGGTCCAAAAGTAAATGGAGTCTTTTTATTCTCTCTATAAATTGGTACTGGTATTATTGTTCAACACGAACATTAATAAATTCATTTGAAACATCATTGACAATTATTGCCCTCTCACATTTCCCATGGAGAGAAAAGGAGAATAATTATTTTTTCCTTTGGATCGTTGGTCTTTTATTTACAATTAGACCAACTTCGGCAATTATTTGGCTACCGTTGTGCGTCTATCATATTTGTACAAGATCAAAAATTTCTATCCTAATTAATTATTTTCTCATTGGAATTACTTGCCTCACAATTTCCACTTTCATCGATTCTTTCTGTTATGGAAATTTCGTGATTACACCTTGGGAATTTTTTAAAATGAACGTTTGGAATAATATTTCAAAATCGTATGGTGTTGAAAATCATTTTTGGTATTTTTTGTCAGCATTACCGGTTTTATTGGGCATTGAATATTTTACCCTAATTTCATCAGTTTGGCGAATTTTTCGACATTGGCGACAATTTCATTGTGAGACGATTTTATTGATCACTTGTTTTTGGACTATTCTTGTCTACTCGTGTCTTGAGCATAAAGAATTTCGCTTTATTCTTCCACTTTTGCCAATATTTATCTTTATCTGTAATTCGAGAAATTATGAGAGAAAAAGAATATCCGAATTGCGGAGAAAACTATTTTTGGGATTATTTATTGTCAGTAATTTAATACCCGGTGTTTATTTCTCACTGATTCATCAAAAAGGTTCATTAAATAGTTTGGAATTTTTGAGAAATAATTTAAATCAAGGGGATGATATTCTCTTCTTGACTCCATGTCATTCAACACCACTTTATAGTCATTTACATAAAAATGTTTCCACAAGATTTCTAAAATGTGAACCGAATTTAAATAACACCAAGGATTATATTGAAGAGGCTCAACAATTTTTTGCTAATCCTCAAAAATGGATTGATGAAAATTACACTAAAGGAATTCATCTTCCCACATTTCTTGTTATTTATGACAATTTTCAAAAACAAATCCAATCATTCTTATTAACCAACTATCGAGAAATTTACAAAACATTTGATTGTCACTTTCCACAAAAAAACTATGGAAATTATATGATTGTTTACAAAAAAAATCATCCTGGTTGAGTTACATTAATTTTTGAGGAAATTAAAAAATTCGTTCAGGTATTTTTTAAGCGAAATAAAATTTATAAATTAAAATTTTTAATTAGTTAAAAAAATTGAATAAATAAAAAATTAAATATTTAATAAAATTAAAAAAATTGAATTGAAAAAAATTTTGTTTGAAATATAAAATTATTCTTCTCTTCTTTTTTTGCAGGAGAAAAATATGGAGGCGATTTGTGAGAATCTGGATAAATTAACAATGAAGAATCTCGAATTAATGGAGGAGAAAATTTCCGCAAATATTGAAATGGAAACAATTTTACGTGATGGTCATATTGAATTGGCAAAGGCTCGTTATATACGTGGAAAAGAAAGTATTGGACGTTTACAAATTCCCACCGCAGACGAAGAAATAGAATCACTATTTCAATTGGAAACAATAAAATCAAATGAAATGGACGTTCCAGTTTTTGATATTAGTCTAAAAAAATCGACAAACACCGAGAAAGTAATTTCAAATCCAATAAAAAGATTTGGAGTTCTTGTGCCTCAGAATTTGAAGAATGCTCAGAAACGTTTTCAAGAATCACTATTTATCGCAGCTAAAATTGCAAATGTTTCCGCACAAATTCTCAACAATGAAAATGAATTTCAATCATTAATGAAGGAGAAAGAAAAAATTTCAAGTACCGAAAATAAAGAAAATAAATCCAACTAACAATTTTTATATTCGTTATAATTAGTAAAATTAATAAAATTAATAAAATTTATATATAATATTAATAAATAAGTTAAAATAAAAAAATTTTTACATAAAATTTTTTTAAAATAAATTAAACACTATTTACGAAAATTGAAAGAAACAAAAAAAATAATGTAAATATTAAAAATTGTTTTTGTTTAAATATTGATATTTAATGAAAAAATTTTTAAACAGTTGTTTCTGTTAAGAATAAAAAAATAATTGAGTGATAATTATAGAAATACTTTCCTATGGACCCTAATTAATCACAAATTTATAGTAACGTTTTACAGATTTGAAATTGAATTTATTTTAAAATAATTCAATTCTCGAATAAATATCGAAAAATGATTATTTTTATAAATTATTTTGTGAATAAATTGTATTTAAAAATTCAAAAAATAATTAAATTGTTTAAAAATCATGCTTTTAATTTTTTTTATAAATAATATAAATAACTAGCAAAACCAGAGATTTTAATTTATTATGTAAATTACAACATTTTTTATATCAACTTTAATTTTTCAATAATTTCAAAATTGAAAATTGAAAAAATCTATTCATTAACTAGGTAATTACTTGTTATTTTCAAAAATTGTAATAAAATTCTTCGAAAAAAATCAATAATTTTCAAAAAATAATAAATTTCTTAACAGAAATTCAATTATTTTTAAAATATAATTTTAAAAAATTTCAATTATTTAAAAGAAATTATAACATTTTTCGAATAAATTAAATTATTTTAAAAAATTTTAATTAAATTCCTAGAAAAAATCCAATTATTTTCAAAAAATTTTGATCAAATTCTTTATAAGAATTAAATTATTTTCAATACAATTGTAATTAAATTTCTCGAAAGATTATTATAATTTTAAATATTCTTTCGAAGAAATTCAATTATTTTCAAAAGTTATAATAAAATTCTTCGGCAAGAATTGAATTATTTTCATTAAAATTTTAATTGAATTTCTTAAAAGAATTTATTTCTATTTCAATTATTTTTAATACAATTTTAAAAAAATTTCTGGAAAAAATTCAATTATTTTGATAAAATTCTTTATAAGAATTCAATTATTTTCAAGACAATTTTAATTGAATTCCTCAAAAGATTTTATTTCAATTTCAATTTCAATTATTTTAAATACAATTTAAAAAAAATTTTCTGGAAAAAATTCAATTATTTTGATAAAATTCTTTATAAGAATTCAATTATTTTCAAAACAATTTTAATTGAATTCCTCAAAAGAATTTATTTCAATTTCAATTTCAATTTCAATTATTTTCAATACAATTTTAAAAAAATTTCTCAAATGAATTCAATTATTTTGATAAAATTCTTTATAAAAATTGAATTATTTTCAAAACCATTTTAATTGAATTCCTCAAAAGAATTTTTTATTTTCAAAAAATTTTCATAAAATTCTTCAAAGGAATTCAATTATTTTCAAGAATTTTGATAACATTTTTTTCAAAAATAAAATTATTTTATAGATTCAAAATTATAAAAAGTTACAAAAATTAATATAAAAAGTTATTAAAAATGTTATCTTTTTAAAATAGAAAAATTTTCATATACGAAATAGTGGAAGACAAATTAATTTCTAAATTTTTTTTACCATAATATCATCACAAAATATATCAAAAAATTTTCTAAATTAAAATTAAGAAAAATTTGAATTATTTATTAGTAAACATTTATAAGTAACTATTTTTTTGATTTTAGAATGTTAAATTAAAAATACAAATATTATTAATATAGATTGAATTTCAAAGTTTCATATTAAAGTTTTTAAAAAGTTTAATTTTAAAAAATTTTAATTAAAAATTTTGAAGAATTTATTTTTTTGAAACATTTTTATTCAATTTTTTTTTAAATTAGTTTTATTTTTTAATACATATTCAATTGAAAAATTTTCAAATTATTGAAATTTCACGAAATTATATTGCAAACAAGTAGATTTCAGAAATATTTTTGATCATCTTTTTTTTAATTAAATAATATTGAATAATTAAATTCTTAAGAAACTTTCTAGAAAATTATGAAAAATAATTGAATTCAAGAAAGATTTTAATTGGAAATTCTAGAAAATAATTGAATTGAAATCTTGAAAATAATTTGAATAAGTTAGGTACAGAAGTAATTTTAAAAAATTAATAATAACGATTCAATATTGATCTAAAAGAACTTATATAGACGTTTTCGAATAATTTTATAATTAAACTAAAAAATTTCAAATATTAAATATTTTTCTGTGTTTTTAATTATATTTATAGAGTGAATTAAAATATTCTTTAACGTCAGGGAAACAGTAAAATTTCTATATGTAAATCAGGGGAAAATAAATTAAATTTGTATTTTTAATTTTATAGGGAAAATAATTTGAAAACCGGAAGTGCGTCATTCGTAAAGAGGAAGTGAGGAAACGTTGAGCGCTGATTGGTTGATGAATTCGGGACATTTCTCGGCAAGTGTCGTGTAACATCGCGAGTCGATATTCAGTCGATATCAACCGCATCGCATCATCGTTCTTTTCGAAGCGAGAATTTTCGATAATATATAAATTTTAAGGACAAAAACAAGTCCATTGTAAATACGATTAATTTTCCCGCTAAATTTCTCAAATATAAAGAAATTTACAACAATAAAAGTGATAATAGGGTGGAATTTATAAAACAAAGTGTTTAAATAGTGGACAGTAATTTCTAAAAACGTGTTATATGAATATCGCGTCCATTTTGTAAAAATGGAATAATGTTAAAAGTACAATTTTCCCACGTTTTTTTTCCAAGTTTTATTTATTTGAAATATAAAAAAAAGAGGAAAATAATAATAATAAGAAAATATGTCGAGAAAAATACAACCTGTGCCTGTATTGAGTCCAGAATTCTTTGAAGAAGAAACAACTGGTGCCAATGTATCAGTGCCGAATCTCTTGGAGGAGAAACATGTTTACACTTACAAGAAACTCGTGGTGCCAATGTCCATGCGAAGTATTTATTGGAAATATTTTGGTTTTCCAGCAACGGACGATGGCAGTATTCTCACCAAAGTGAAAATTGTTTGCATTTTATGCAAAACACAAATTGCCTACAATCGAAATACCAGTAATCTTAGGTAAATTTATAACATTTTTTCTTTCAAAAAAATAATTTAAGTAATTTAAAAAAATTCTTTTTTAATTCCCATTATAGTTTTAAAATAAATTTTCCAGAAAATTTTTTATTTGAAAAATAGTCAACAGAGAACGATTTTTAACAATCGTTTTATTAGCATTCTTTTTATGTTTACTTCACGATTATTTATATATTGTGAAAAAAGTAAGAATTTTCTGGAAATTTTTGTCGAACTAATATTTGTTTTCTAATTGTAGGGAAATAATAAAAGAAATAATTTGGACAAGTCGTTTTTTTTTTAAATAAAAATTTGCTTCAAGGTTTTTTGAAATCTAAATGTTTTGCTCTTCAGCAAGTCTATCAAAATAATAATACAAAAAACAAAAGTTAACAAACAAACAAAACTAAATTAAAAAACAAGTTCAAAATAAAAATATCAAAAATACGATAATCGAGAAAAAATAAATTTTAAATGAAAATATCAATAAGAATTAAAAAATTATTTATCTTCTTCACCATAAATTTAATTCAAAAAGTTGAATTTAAAAATTTTGCAAACGAAAATTTTTAAGTTTTAACATTTTTTTAAAGTTTCTTCAAATTTTTTATTTCCATTTTTATTCTAATTGTTATTTATTGTTTTTTAAAAGACAAAGTACTCAAAAATAACATGAATTTGAAGCCAAAATAAAATTAATCGTTTCGTTTTTGTTTTAAAAAACGTTGCGTTTTTCAATTTGAAATTTTTAATGAATTTAACTAAAAATTTTAAAGAACTTAAATTTTTGAAAAATTTTAATAATTCAAATTCTTCTGAAATTAGTTACATTTTTAAATATATATTTAATAAATTATTAAAAATAATGAATTTGTAGAAGAATTTTAGGTGAAAATACTTATAAAATTTGAATAAATAATTATTGTAATAAAATTATTGTAATAAAAATTTAGTTTGAACTCTAGAATCATTAAAAATCTTTTTTTTATAATTGATAGAAATTATTGTAATAAAAATTTAGTTTGAACTCTAGAAACCTTAAAAATCTCTTTTTTAAATTGATGGAAATTATTGTAATAAAAATTTAGTTTGCACTCTAGAATCATTAAAAATCTTTTTTTTTATAATTGATAGAAATTATTGTAATAAAAATTTAGTTTGAACTCTAGAAACATTAAAAATCTCTTTTTTTAAATTGATGGAAATTATTGTAATAAAAATTTAGTTTGCACTCTAGAATCATTAAAAATCTTTTTTTTATAATTGATAGAAATTATTGTAACACAAATTCAGTTTGAATTCTAGAATTATTAAAAATCTCTTTTTTTTATAATTAATAGTTTTGTCTGCATAAAAATTTATTTTTCAGAATGCATTTGCAAAATAAACACGCGCAGGAACTTCTTGAATTGGAAACGGCAAATCCACCACGAAAACCAATAATATCACAAGAGGCCAAAGAACGAAGAGCTCAAAAAAGACTATTGAAAGCTGGTTTAG